AAATAGTGCGCCATCTTGTCTCGGTCCGCGTGGATGACTTTCGTGAGCGACGACAAGAAGTGACGGACCGGCTGCACGGTGTACATCTCGGTCAGCGTCGTTTTGATGTGGCTGCCCGATGCCTTTGTCGACCCCCCCCGGATGCCGCTGACCATGACCGCCAGGCGCGTTTGGAGCTGGGTTGGCGAGTCTCGAAGCCCGTGCAATTCAACCATGTGCGAGCGAAGCAGATCTTCGCTCGTCTCGACCTTCTCAGAATAACCCACGTTCTGTGCGAGCCATCCGGCCGCAGCGCGATCGCCAAGGTCATCTGCCAGAGATAAGTCGATGTTTTCGCGGGAGGAGCGGCGGCGCGTGCAAAGTGCTCACCCCATATGTACACATCTACAAGCCAGCAGCCTTGCTGGCGGAGCTGTCTCTGCAGCCTCTCACAGCGTAGCTCCAGGTCTGGGATGTCAGGGTCACCAGGCTCTAGCTTCGCGAGGTCGACCTTCGCCTTCTCCCACACTGCGACTGTGTCCGCAAGGAACCTGATGCTCGCAGAAATTCGGTGCTGACCGACAATAACGTACACCGGCGCGGAGCTCCGTCCTTGCCTGGTTTCAAGGTGACGAATGGAAGCGTTTTCGGGTGCGTCACCTGGCCATCCACTTTGAAGTCGATGGCATCACGTTCGACTGCAATCTTGATGCGGTGCCCGTAGACGAGATGCTGGTAGGTGTTCTTTTTGAAGTCAATCAACAACTTTTTGATGTGGTTATCGTCGAGGTCGCGACTGTTCACCTCACGCGTGACGATCTTGACGTTGTCATGCGCCGCGAAGAACGGCAGCGTCGCGAGCCGCGCAGGACCGTAAAACGCCTTCCGCAGGTCTCTTCATAGCCCAGGATGATGTCTTGCGAAACATCCTGCACAGCGAGACTCTGATCCACGAGATCAGTGGACAGATTTCAGACAGCAAGCCCTGAGCGTGCGCACCGTAGACCCCACTGCATTGTCTATGTCATCCTCTTCCTCCTCCTTCTGCTTTCTGCGCTTCCCTTCGACAGCGGTGTCTTCGACTGGGCTGGAGCCGGCTCCTCCTGCGCTGTGCCCCGTGCGATACTGTTTCTCTTCTTCCGAGAGACTGTGGGACCCATTCTGGTACGTCTGTGTCGAATGCTGATTATCAGATGTATGGTGAGCACACGACAAACAGACGGGGACGCAACACTTACAGGTTCGAGCAGAGGTGCGATGGCGACAAGACGGTGAGAGAGGAAAAGTTTGGTGCGCGCGATACGGGAGTTACCCGTGCCGCATGTAATGCGCATGCATTCATCATCTGATGCGCGTACGGTCAGCGGCGGGTCGGAATACTAACCGCGTGAACTCACAATTATTTAATATCATACGCTAAGACTTGTCGACGGGGACTGTAAGGAGAGCGGTATGTATGTCACTGGCGTATCAGATGACTGTGCGGCACAAGTACGCGACACAGACAGAGCCCCTACACAATGGGTGCCTTGGATGTGGACGTGCGTCACCGCGTGTGTCCACATGTGAGACGCATAGATGCCCTACCAGACAGGCTAATGATCAGGCCTCCAAGGTGAACACTTACGATGATGCGCATCCGTTTTACGACACAGACGGTCCAGGGTAGGTATAAAGTCACAGTGTGCTGTTATAATGGCTATGGAAGGGGCTTGAAGTGTGAAGATACGCGAGCGCATCTTCACACTTTCGCCCGCACTCCTAACCCTACACACACCCCTACAAAGCGGTCTCGATGTGAACGTGCGCGGTCGCGCGTGTCCACACTTCCAACGCCCTAAGTAGGGGCTCTGACAAGTGCCCGGATGCGTGTCAGATTCGTGAACACGCGCGTGCGCGCACCTCCACATATCTGACACGTATCACAGGCGACTTAACACATGCTTGCTGTACAGCAAGACTGTGAATGTGGACACGCGGACCGCGCATGTCCACAAATCAGACATATTGTACGGGTGTGTAATGGTTCTCTCACCGGTGCTGTCGATGTGGACACGCGCGATCGCGCACGTCCACATCTCAGACTCGTTCAGAGACGCTGATGACTCGCTGAAAGGTGGACGTGCGCGGTCGCGCGTGTTCACACGTGTGACACGTGGTGGGCGTCTAATGGCTGCCCTACAGTGCTGTAGATGTGGACGTGCGCGGTCGCGCCTGTCCACAAATTACATGCATGTGGTTTTTGTCTGTTGAGAAGGGTCAACATCCGCGCGCACCCCTGCGCGCGGATGGTTACGGTAGTAGTGCCGGGGATTCATATCTACATCTACAGTTACATTTGCGTATATAGACTACTCGACGAGCTTCCGACGCTTCACGCGTTTCGCAGCTGTCCCCTCCTCTCCCATCACCTCCTCGTTCTCGGGGGCTCCGCGTTTCCCAGCTACATCAGCAGTGTTTTAGCACAGTAATCCCAGACAGACCGTGTAAACTTACCGGCCCCGACATCGGAAGCCTCTGCATCCCATCTGTACGACCCCGCGAAGTCCTCGTGCGCGCACGACTTGGCGGGGTGCGCGCATGGCTTGCTCGAGTGCGCGTAGTACTTGACGCACTGGTGGATCCCTTCGACACAACCGGAAGACCGTGCTTCTGCATGTAAGTGGTCAGTGTCCATTGTCGGTACATATACACATGCCAAACTCACCTTGAAAGAGCACCCCTTGCGTGCGTCGATGCACGCGACGCAGCGCGGGTCCTCATAGTCCCTCTTCGGGACGCGGCAATCGACTAAGCCTCTGTCCAGGCAGCGCAAGCAGCAGTCCTTGCCGTAGAACTACGATGCGTGCAGGTACGTCACTGTCAACAGCGAGTACACTGACAGACTTACCACGGTGTCGAGCGATTTCGGTGGAAGGTCCTTCGGCCTCTTGTACTTGTTCAGCGGAATTGGGTCGCTCATTGCGGCCGGTGCGTGACCCTTGGCCTTCATCGCGAGGTAGATACCGCGTCTCTGCATCGCCTTCTTGCGGTCCTCGTCCGTGACGCGCCCACGGTCGATCTCATACATCATCGTCGGGCGTCGGTGTCCTCGAACTCCTGGACAGGGGTCCCAGCTGCAGACGCACACATGGTCAGAGCAGGCAGTTGGGCACATTGTGCCAGACTTACAGTACAAGTGGTCATTGTCTGAGACGTGCACGCAGTGAGCTTGAAGGTCACACACGTACAAGACGAAGTACTCACGCAGCCAGATCTCTGCAAATGCCTGCATTCCGGCGTCCTCCTCCTCCTTCGGCGTCCTGATGTCCCACTCCTTCACCTGGCACTGCCGCCATTCGGACAGGAACGTCTCCAATGAGAGACCTTCCTTCCACGCTCCCTCCGCCGGCTCGTCCCAATACTGCCAGGCGAAGCACTCGTCAAGGACGCGAGGGAAGAGAATGCCCTTGGGGACGTAGTTGAGGGAATGCCGCCATCTCTCGTCCTAGCATGGCATGTGCCGTCACCGTCCCCGCATCCCGTCGTGAGCAGCAACGGTACTCACCAGTAGATACCACTTGAGTATCTCGTCCAACGCCTCATAGGAGACCGGGCTGTTGAGCAGCGCACGGATCGTCCTGTTCATCCGCTCCACCATCTCCTCCGTCCATTCATGCCGCTCCGGGGGCTGGTCCGTGAATTCGAGCGGACCGCGCTCTTCGATGTCGAGCTGTGCCTCAGTAGCCGCCTCGCGTAGGTATTGCTTCACGTCTTCGAGGGTCCAGGTACCCACCATCGTGTCGAGGGACAGGCAAGTGTACGAGTAAGCGAGCAGGGGAGGAACAGATGAGGGAGTGGAAGAAGGAGTGGAAGAGAGTGAGAGAGTGAGTCCGCGCGCTCGCAGCCACAAGTCACCTGGCGTCTACTAAGTCAGTGGCGGGTGGCTGGTGAGATCGACGCGACGTGCAGAGCACAAGTCAGCTGACCGTATGTGCTATGCGCGCGCTGGACTCTGACTCTGGAGACAGATGGGAATGTCAGTGACTGTTGCGCAGGTGGGTACCAACTGGCTGCAGTGCCCTTTGCAGTGGTGCGTGCTGCCTTGCGGTGGGTGAGTATGAGCACTGACCTCAAGTGACTGTCAAGGTGCACACCACGGCTGCGTTGCGGTGATTATCGCACGGGTTTGTACTCACTTTGGGTGAACTGTGGTGCGGTACGTCGACTTACCTGATGTAGCCGCACTTGACTGGTGTGTGTGGTGCGCGCACCTCCAGAAGTGAGTCGGCGTACCTTCAGTTAAAATACCTACTGCGCGCATATGTAAGTGGTCAGTGCGCGCACTACTGATTTCGAGTGCGCATACATTCTGTTGACTTACCTTTCATTCTATGTTGGAAAATTCATAGCACCGCGCGCATACACATTCACTACGTATGTACTACATGACACGAGTTCATCTGTACCTGCTTAGTGTCAATGTGTAATTGGTAAATTCCACGGTGCTTACCCCTGTTCGTACTGCTCGATCTGCGCACGGAACCACTGCATGCGGTCCGAAAGAAGGTCGATGCCCTGTGCTCGCGCCAACGCCGAAGGCCCGCCTTCCCGCAAAAACCGTTCGTTGAGCTGGGCCATCGTCGTGCGCTCCAACTGAAGGCGGCGATAAACGTATTCGCAATGAAGGGCCTGGCGTGCCAGCCAAACCCGACGAGCTGTGTTGTCGTTCACGAGATTTCGTGGCTCGGGCATCAGCATGGGCTTGCGTGCTGCTGACTGTGTTTCCCAGAAATCGATTTCCTCGGGATGCGCGAGGAGCAAAGTGAGTTGTCCAATGCTGAGAGTGTATGGACCGTCCGGAAGGGCTCGATCACTTGGGAGGTCGATTTCTAGCCAGATGGGTGGCCTCCGCTCAGAGCGGAGGTCGAGATTCTCTGTGGTTATTCAGACAGACAACAACCGGAGTGAGGGAGATGCGCGCACCGTGGATCATGATCAATAGTGACCGGAGATGGCGGAGCCAGCGGTCAACCCAGACATGAATGTCTTCGTCCATTTCAATCTCGCGATCAATGCGCCATTGCCGCTCATGTATAAGAATGGCAATGTGCGCGCAGATGCGCTCAAGAACTCGTGTTCGTTTGTGTGATTTATGTGGCCGTAGGGGATGAACCACCGAGCCTCTGGTTGCACAAACCGACCAGAATAGTCAAGCAAGGTCCTCTTTTCGTCTGTAGCGACATTGAGGTGGATTGCCTCCTGTGTATGATGGTTCCAGAGGATCCGCTTGATGGGTGGATCAGGCCACAGAGTGCCCGCTTTGACTGTACCAGCGGACAGTGAGCAGATTATAATATACCGATGCTGTGACACCTACTGTTGTTGTTCAAGATTTCTGTGTAGTGAGTCAGCTTTGTGAGAGCAGTTTGATCGTTGTAAAGATAACGTACTATGCCAGTAATCGACCGTCTCCCGCACCAAGTGCATGAGACTGACAGTTGACATGGCAATGTACTGCCATTCTCGGCGATTGTGGGTGTGGATGGGGAACGATGTGCGTGAGAATCCCCAGTACCTGTACAACGGAGTGATGAGTTTGCTAATGCGATCATGACTGCCTCGAGCCGATCGATTTCCGATTGCATGTAGAGTACGTTCAGGACTCGGGGATCAGAGGTCGTACGGACACGTATGATGCGAAGCCATTCCCCCATGTGCTTGCACCATCTCTCATACGCCTCTTCGATAGTGATTGGGCCATAAGCCGGACCAAGAGGGCCGAGCTCGTGGAAAAAACCTGCGTGTGTACGGGGATGAGCCGGGTCAGTGCAGCAGCGTGCAGAATCACACGCGTGCGGTCTGACCAAGCTGGACGGTCCATGTTCACCAGCTACACTGCTGTAGTACTCAGTGCTATGTACATACCGACCAGTGACGGCCAGCGACTCACCTATGAATTGCGCAGTGACAACCTGACCGTTTACTACAGCTTCTAGTGATCTCTGTTGATTACTAGCTGTCAAGGATCTGTGAGTGAATCGATTTCTGCTGAACTCGGTCAATCACTTACTTAGTATATGTTTACAACGAGCTCACCAACCACGTAAACTGCTCTTCGTTTGGCTCAGTAAGCGGCGCTATACATAAGCTCACCCCGCCCAAATTAAGCCCAAATGCTGTATTGAGACGTGGACGCGATCCCGTGACAGCGCCCGCGCGCTCGGAGTTGTGCGGGCGGCCGGGCGCCGATCAGCAGAACTGCAGATTCGTCTGAGGCTATCTGAAATGGTCTGGTACTAACTTACTCGTCAGACATTCAGACCCATCAGACTTTGCGTTTGAGAACGGGAGATCAGTTCAGAGCTAATCTCTGATGTCAGACAGCCTTCAGGCCAACCTCACACGCCATCTCAGATGGTCGTCAGAATGCTGCTCACAGAACGTAGTACTAGTACAGTACACAGTACTAGTAGACTACCAGCTAGTACTCCCACAACCCACCTCCCTTCGCTACTACTACTGTGCTTGCTGTGTCCGACAACGCCCCGCTCACCGGGCGTCCAGTTATTATCGTGGGAGGGTGCGCGGAAATGTGTGGAGGTGCGCGATCGCGCGCGTTCACAACTTAGCGCCTATTCATCATATGGGTAATACACTATTGTGAAGGTGCGCGATCACGCACCTCCACACATTTCCGCGCACCATCGGTCCCTGCGCGCACCCTCCGCAGGGGCTGCATGTGGAGATGCGCGATCGGCGGTCCATATATAGTGATATATGTCAGCATACATTCACCTCCATGTATATAGTGACTTGCATGTCCAAGATGTGGAGGTGCGCAATCACGCGTCACCCACATTTAGTAGATTCTACGATTAATGCCGTGCACGTGACTTAGCTGTGAAGGTGCGCAATCGCGCGCCTCCCCACATTTAGTAGATTCTACGGTTCATGTCGTGCACGTGACTAAGTTGTGAA